CGGGACGCGGCGCGGGGACTGTGCGGCCGGCGTCTCGCGTGGGGACCAAGTTCCACTTTTTTTTCCTCCCATTGGGCTACCTCACTGGTCCAGAAGTCCGCTCAAGAAGTTATTTTCCAAAGGAACTTGCTTTCATGCTTGTATAATAAAGCACCATCCGATTCCTGCTTTCCCCTTCCCAACCCTTCCCGCTTTTCCCCCTCCCCATCGATAATGTCTGCTTTGTGGTGTTGCACTAGTATGTGCTCAGGGTATTTTGAATCCCAAGCATTCCCAAGTTTCAGTTTATGCTGATCACGGATGCATAAAGAATGGAGGTTCAGGACTTGTGGCTGTTTTTGCTGGTGCAAAAACTTTTTTTTTTTTTTTTTTAGATTTCATGGGCTTAGTGATATATATAAAGATGTATTGCGCAGTATAATTGTTACACTTTTGTATCTAAAGTCATTTTTAAAGTTTTCTAGTCAAACTAAGTATTTGTTTCTATTGAGCACCTAAAGATAGAATCATCCTGATATTTTATAACCCTGTTTACTTTAGGGAAGCTCATTTGGTCAACCGAAGTGAACTTAATAAAAGTCAAAGAACGAGTGGCGTTTCAGTCCAGTGACGCTGACTGCGCAGGGATGGGGTTGTTGGCGAGCTGCACCACGCGTGTTCACTAACGAGGGCACAACTGGGGCCTCTGGTGACCAAGCTGAACCTGGTGAAGACTCTGTTGGCTCCTGAAAGCAATGCCCGGGCGTCTTGGGAAGGCTGTGCTACAACGTTGCCACTTAGAGCAAAAAAAGCTCTAGTTCCCGTGATGAAAGTTGGCCCTGAAGCGCCTACCTCTGCTAGAAGGGCAAGACCTCAGAACGGAACAGCACTGGTTGCCATCTTGGGTTGCTTGATGACTAATGTCAGATAATTATATTAGCATAATTACCTGCACATAATTATTTCCTCTAAAATTCTCTTGGGTTTTACTGTCATTTCTGATGCCTCTTCATAAGACAGCTTGATTATTTTGTCTGAAAGGTGATGTTGTAGTTCTAAGGGGTAGGCGATCTCTGGTTAAACTATTTTTTTCCAGGACTTTGTGTAGATTTTGCATCTTGTGGTTGGTGTGTGAGAAGTGAGGGGAATGGGGAGTGTGCATGGTGGGTGTTGTTTGTTTGTCCTTAAGCTTAGGAAAGGGAAAGAAATTCTTGGTAATAGATAGTTTATGTTCCTAGTATCCTAGGAAATGGGACTAACTTCTCAATTGCCATGGTGGAATGAATGACTTCACAACTTGTTTATGGAATGATTCAGCGACTCTAATTTCTGATGGCTGTCAACTCCTTGTTGCCTCTTCTTGATACAGATAAGAAGATGACAACTGGACGTGCAAAGACTCTGTAAAAGACTTGCTCACTAGTGCTAGCTTGAAATAGCTTCTTCTAAAACTTACTTATGTTACATCATTCTTACTTAGCAAAGCGGTGAAGTTCTTGTTCTTCAAAACTGCACGTTACTCTATAGCCATTAAGCTTTTGAAATTGTTTATCTAACATTGGGCTGCCCGCTGATTGCTGCAGTGGTGCCACGTCAGGTTTCACAAGTGAATTAGGAAACGAAAGTTCAAGGGTGTGTATTGTTAAGCTGTTTCTTTGGCTATAATACCTGCTTAAATTTAAAGGGGAAATTGTGTGAATTTAAAACACTCAGTGTGGAAAGATGCCAGTTCTCCAAGTTTATGTTTGCAGTTATGACTTTCCCCTCTAGAAATGCAAGTTTGAAGATTATTGCTAACTCTGGAAGTGTGCAGTTAACTTCAGTGAAGTTTGGCTCCTACTGGCATGTCAAATTAATTTTTTATGACTCTTTTGAAAAGTCTGCGTAGAGGGATGATTGAATTTAAGCAGTCTTGTGCAGATTCTTCATGCCCCTCCCAAACAGCCACAGGACCAGTCTACATGCTTTTCCAGGGGCAGAGTTAAGGCTCCTGGGATTATAATGTGGGAGACACTATTAAATCTGCCATATTTTAAGGCTTCTATTGAAACTGTGTGAGTGTAAAATATTGCTAAATAATTTCAACTTGTTAAAGTTTATAAGTGACTTTGGTGTGGGGGCTGTATGTGTAAGACTTGCTTTTTAATTTCATTGGTTGTGTTGCTTTGGTTTTGAAGCAGCAGCTTTCCTGGCGGCAGGGTGTGCTTTGCCAATAGCCAGGTAGCGAGTCATGGTGAAGTTTCACTGCAGCCTAAACTAATCTGGCAGCTGCGTTTCCAGATCCTTAACCGGGCTGTTTTAGTCCGTGCAGTCAGTTAAGGGCAGGAGATATTTAGTCAGGTTTTCTGGTAACTGAATGTGCTGAGATAGCCCAGCAAAGGATCGGAGTACAGGAGGGCGGTAGGAAGGTATCTACGTTAGTTTGCAGAGTGGCTGACGGAACTAATTTCACCATGAGTCTATTTAGGACAGTTCATGGCTATCCAAGACTGTAATATTGCCAGCTCTTCCCTTCCTCCCTACTCCCAAAGCTGTAAGTTCCTACCCCTTTCGCTTGAGGAAGACAAACAAGCAGAAAACTGCAGTTAGCCTTAGGCAGGTTGGCTTTTTGGGCGTCTTGTAGCAATAGACAAGAGCTGAGAAAGTTTGGACAGGAGTGTGCAGAATTGCAGGAGTACCAGATGTAATGTAAAGTAATATTTAAGTATGGAAGCCATAGAACTTATTCTGCTGAAAATGCTGACATTACTGTACTCTTCTGATACAGTTGCTGTTGGAGAAAGTGTAATAGCGGGTTAGATGGGCCTGTGTCGCGGCTGTTCTCACGCAGACCAAGCGATGTGAGAGATGGGAACTGCTCGGCTGAACTCAGTGCGTTTCTCTATCCTGTTGTATGGGGCTGCTTCTGAGCATGACAAAACAGAGGCCCAGAATAAATGCAGTGCGTGGTGCCCAGGCTAGTTCAGTTTCATGTTAAACAGGAATCTTGTGGTGGCCTCCCTTGCCAGGCTTCTGCTGCAGTAGCTAGTTCTGTGCCACATGAGCTCCCTCCACGCGGCAGCTTTATGCCCTGGAAGTTGTGCCGCTTCCTTTACCAAGTCTGATATTTTTTCTGTCCAGTCATTGGCAGTTTGTTGAATTTTGTAATGCCACGGGGTCAGGGAGAGGTTGCACTGTGGCCCCAGACGTCAGAGAGCTGCTCGGGTGGCCCTTGAGTGCGACACGCTCCTCGGCCTGAGGCCCGCGGGGCAGCGCCTCTGCCGAGTCCCCACGCGAGCACGTTGCCCGGGACCGACACTCTTGGAAGGAGAAGGCAATGCCTTGCCCAAGTTCCTTGCTGCTCTAATGCTGCCTAGAAGCTCTCACATCAAAAGGATCAAAGTGTGCAGCTGGTCCTTGAAACCATCTGTCGCTGGCCCTCAAAGAGCAAACTCTGCTTATATGCCCAAAGCTCACGCGGAGCATCACTGTGTATGTTTGCCGATGGCAAATTGGATATAGCTCTGAACTGGTAGGGTCTCTATTTCCTTGCCCAGCAGAGGCAAAGGGCAGAGTGACTCCAGCTTCGAGATTGCACATTTATTCTGAACAGTTTTCCAATTACTATTTCTTCACTGAGGCAGAGCGCTGGATTCTCTGGGCTATTTAAAACAGTTGATGTATGCTAATTTGCTTTCAATCAGCCCTGGACTTTGAGCCCAAGAAACCTGCAGCATTGAAAATGTCTTTATTTCCTTTTGGCTCAGTGAAAGAGTAAGAAAAAATTCTGCTTTGTACGTATGAGTTGAAGACATTTGTTTTGGATTGAACAAAAATGTTGTGCTCAACTGGAAATGCTTACCTTTTACTTGAGTTTGCACATACGAAACAAAGGACTAAATTCACAAGAGATTTTAGGTACTAGCCCCAGAAACAGGGCGGTTTCAGTAAGTGGCAAAGGAGGTCAACAGTCCGGGTCTATTATGGACCAAAAGTCCTATAGCTCCTGTCTGGCTGGCCGCAGGAACTATGAAGATCTGTGTCCTCAGGATATAACAGCTCAACATTTTCATTCTGTATCATTAAACTTTCACCACGCTAGGAAAAAAAATCCTGACTCTATATATATATATATATATGGTACACTTCAGTTCTTCATTTGGTCTTTATTTTATGGGAGGTATAACTGCTTCAACAGGAAAGACTGAGGCAGACCTATTCCCCAGGATTTTGTGGTTTGTGGATCTGTTCAGGCAGCACCTCTGAATGGGTGCCCTCCTGATGGTTTATCCTCAAACTTTCATGAGGCTCCCAATAAACATGATAATAGCCACATATGGGAGAATTTTGGAACTTTTCTCATCCCTGATCAAGGTAAAGCCATTTGCATAATGCACATTTCCTCGAAGTTGATGTTTAAATATCTTTGTAGAATTACCAAGAAAAAAGAAGTTCATTTAGTTTTTATCATTGCTGCCATTTTCTTATGTAAAAACAATCGAAAATATTTTCCAGGGTTGATAGAGTCTTGTTTGTCCATGTATTTGCCATGAAACTCCATGGGAAACTGCTGAATAAGTAAGACTTGACATTATAGGAAATGGAAGAAATGAACCTTCAGTCATGTAGCTCATTTAACTTTAAGAGGCATGCAAGAAATCCAGCCAAACAGAAAAACGTGTTTCCCTGCACTGTCCAGTAGGATTACTGGATACCACGAGAGTTTCCATTCCCATTCTTTACTCTTTCAAACTTCTTATTTCAGATTATAGAAGATGAGACTCGATATTCCTGAAGTTAAAAAAAGCTGCCACCAGGAAAATCCCCTGATCCTTCTCCCTCCCTGTCCCACTTTGCTACCTCAGAAACGCAGGCGGGCTTTGCCTGCCCTCTTCTCTTGGTCTGCTTTTGGGCAAAGATCAGAAGTGAATGGCCTAGAGTAGATAGAGTAAATGGGAAATGAAATACTTGCAATGAAAGATGCCTTTTTTTTTTTTTTTTTTTTTTTTTTATTTATTGACTTGTATGTTGTTTGCTGCTTCCCGCCTTCCTTGGAGAACATTTATTCTACCTTCTTTGATGGTCCTCCTTTGCTCGTGTAACGGAGCAGCCCATTTGGACCTTGGCAAATCAAACTGCCCTAGAGTGATCTGTGACTATGCAGAGGATGTGTTTTCTGATGATGCTTAGAAGCGGTGCTGTCCTAACCTCATGCTTGGACAGCCGGGGACCTTAGTCAAAATATCAGTGTTTTTTCTGAAGGGATGGATATTTCCTGGATGGGAGTTAAGAAACCAGATGGAAAGAATATGATGCAATGATTCTTCATGATCCATCATGTGATCTAAGGTGACTTTCCAAAGGCTTTTTTGAAAAAGAATGAGTTTCTTTCAAGCTGTCCATGAATCTATATACTCAAATTCTAAAATGAAGGTGTGACATTACTGTAGTTTTTTTTTTCTTTTCTGATTGAGCATTTGCAGCAACAACCACCCACTTTGTTCAATTTCCTTCATCTGAGGATTGTTAAAATCATTTCTAACTGAAATTGTCCCCCTGGCTCCACCAAATACCTGGTGAATTGCAAGTAAGTGCGTGCAAAATAGCTGACTGTTTCTGTAACTGACTCAATACTGATTTCAGCCCCTTTAAGGATCCCTGTTTGTGCAGCTACTGACACTTAGTGATGCAGGATGAAAGATTTCCTGAAATAGGGCAGGAAGAAGGGATTAGGACATAGATTGAGCTGTTCCTGATCCTTCACTCTACCCAAGCTCTAGCAAACGTCCCAAGGGTTCCAAACGTCATTAAATTCCTAATTATGCAAAGCAGATGTATAGCAATAGATATTTTTATAAATGACATGTAGTTTATGGCAGTTTATGCTACCTACACACTCACAGGTAGCAAAGCAGCTCTCTGTTGGAAGCTTTTGTTCCGGGTTTTTGTTTCTCTAATGCCACTGTATCCAACGGCTATCCTAAAACCACCCAACATCTGCCTGCTTGGGAGATCAGCAGGACCGCGTCAGGGCCACAGCAGTTCCTCCTGCTTGGTGTCCTCCTAACTGGTGTCCCAAGGAGAAAGCATTTTCCAGGAAGATTGCAGCGAGGATTTACCTTGTGTTGAATTCACTAGCGTAAATTGTGACATATTCTGGGCTTGGTCCCAGCAATCTGGGAGGCTGCGAGGGGAATTTAGCTCCTCCAGGAGAGTGGGTATCCACTTTTTCTTCTCTTCTTCCCAGGGTATCTTGATAGAGAACGCAGCCACAGTGAGAGTCATAAAACCAATCTTCTGTCTCAGATGGGAGACTGAGAAGTGCTGCTCCTGCTGCTGTTGACTGGTCTTCAGTAGGAAACATTAAGTAAGCCAGAACAAAATGCCCTTTGTTCAGATACTTTTCCCAGAAAGAAGCAGAGCACTTTTTCTTGTGGAAGCAATGCTGGGCTGATTTTGTTTTGAATGGCCATTAATGGCTCTGTAAATGTTGGGTGTTATTTTTTTTTCCTTCCCCTCATAGCAATTCTCAATACTTTGTACTAGTACTCAATGCTGGACAGCTTTCCTGTCTATCTCTACCCATTTTAGGGAGGGAAAACAAGTTTAAATCTTTGAAAGACTACTTGTATGCATTTCCCTCCCCCACCCCCCCCATGCATCCATTGCTCAACAGTTGTGCCTGCCGAAAGCAGAATGATTTAGCTTGGAAAGGATTCATGGAGGCTACCTGGTCCACAACATCCCCTCTCAAGCAAGGGCAGATGTAAAAGGTCTTTAAAAGTGCTGGTCTTAGAACAAGAGCAGAGATAAAGAAGGAGGTAATCTGAAACAAGAACAGAAGAAAAATTCCTTAGTTTGAAACCCAAAAAGAAATAATGAGGATCCAATGTTTTCTGTCATAGAATCTGTACATTATGGCAATGGTGCCATTTAGAATAATTCTGTTCTGCTGTCTCGGATGGTTAAATTAATGCTGCTGAATATAGATGTTCTGATGCTTATTTTTGGATTAGTGGGTAGAGGAGAAAGTGGAGGAAACTTCTGCCAATCTGTGTTTTCTTTCAGAGCGGCTCCACCTACTTTCCTGCTATTGTTTCAAGTCGCAGCCCTTCAGTGCAGCTCGTCTAACTAAATCCTGCACCATGAGCTGTGCTGCGGAGCACCCAGCTCTTCCTTAGCTGCTCTTGAAACTCATTGAGCATTTGAACATCAATTAGATGCATCACATCTGTTCATTTATTAGCAATAATGTCATCTGTGTAGCAACTATGTATAAATTACCTCCATCTGCATAGAAACTTCACCTCATTGTCCAATGGAAGCTGCTTCATCCATCTTTCCATCAGACCGGGTGTCTTTAACAATCCGCCAATGTTTGTATTCTTTTCAACTAGATTAGCATTTTTGTCATTGTCTGTTTCCTCATATCCATCCTCCTCTGCCTCATTTCCAAAGTAAGCCTCTTTCTGACTCCTTGATAAACTTGCTTCCCAGTTTAAAAACTGGGAAGGGGGAAAAAAAGTCATGCTCTTGATCATACTGATCACGCCGTATCTGGAACAAAACAAATTAAATAAAGCATGAAGATTTGGGTGGACTGCCTATAATTATATTGAAAAATAAAAGTTTGGCTTCACGAAAAATGAAAAATGTCCTATTTAAATGGAAAGCAGCCATGTTTTATTTTGTTGATGTTTCTATCAAAGCATATCTCTATTTGCAAAAAGTCTTTCACTGAACAAAATGTTCAGAACATCATTGACAAAAGAAAGCTTGTGTGGGAGGTTTTTGACAAAAATGGAAAAAGTAAACACAGAGGTAGAAGCTTTGAAACCTTTCCCACTTTTTTTTTTTTTATTATGTGAATAAATTTGATATTTCTAAATGCAGAATAACATATCAATGATCATGGAAAACTCCCTTGCTGATTGTCCTCTTGGCTTTCTTGATGCTAGTGTGTAGCCCAGGATTTTGTAGATATCTGCCTAAAGGGATCATTAACCAGATGACCTGGTCAGATGGACACTGCCCCGGACATTAGGACCCCTGTGTCAGGGACAACCCTCGCATGCAGAGCAGGGCATTAGATCACCCTGCCTGCCCTGTAGATACTTAACCATCCCCGCAAAGCCCTTCTCCCTGAAATGAAGGCAATCTCAAAGCCTGCAGCTATATTACGTTGCACATTATATCTCACTTTCTCTTGAGCACAAAGTGTAAAATATCACCACCTCAGAATTGCAGTTCTCCATCTTCTCTCACTGGAATGCTGCATAATATCAGGAGTGCTAGGCAGGGAAATAATATATCATGTCAGCAGTGCTGCTAATTAACATGTAAATCATTTCACTCACTTTTCCCCCATCACAAGATTGGCTTTAAAAAGTCAAAGATTTAAAAATGATATAAATTTATATGGCAAATTTTCTGAGTCACTAAATTTCCTGCTTTTCATCATTTTCTTTGCCTCCAAGATGAATAGAATCTCATTTTTATTTTAAATGATTCATTTTTTCCCCCCAGTTTCCTCAGTCTAGGAAGGGGGGCAGTAAGAAAAACATCAGATATTGTGATCCCAAGGAGTTGGCAGTCGTGGGTCAGAGAAGACAAGGCTTGGGAGGGAGCCAGGAGCAGCCTGTGAACGGGAGCTGCAGGCTGCAGACAGCTGTCTGGAATCTGTCTGGGCAGCAGGCACCCCAGGTGAGAGAATCACGCAGGGAAGCAGCTTTTGCTGGTGTGGGAGTAGTAACATCAGACCTCGTTTCCACTTAAAGGGGGTTCCCATAAAGCTTTAACTGGCAAACCCTCCTAATGAAGATGAAACTTAGACTGCTTCCCAGAATGGAGTTACGTGGGCAGAAAGGAGTTTCTGCATGTATAAAAGCATCTGCATTAAAGCTTTTGTTGTCATAGTCATGGTGTTTGAGCTTAGTCTTGTTTTGCCTTTTTTTTTTTAAATGCATGGAG